ACACGTGGCAGCCCAGCTGACTCCAAGACGCATCTTGTGGCAAAATGGAGAGCAAAGGCATCTGGCAATCATCCTAGTCTTACCTGGGCCTACCTGGCAGCTGCGTCTTCACGGGGGAGGGATAAATCAGCGTCAGCAGTAGTTCGATTCAGGTGGGTGGTACCTGAGTCCAGAAAAACCAAAAATTGTCCTGAACACATGAGAAGGGTTTTGCTGCTCTAAGATCTTTGTCTGGACCAGAGAAAGTTTAGCCTGCTCCGTGCTACGACAGCCCTGAGTATAGAACGTACTTATATTTCTTGACCACGTAAAGGCATCTGTCCTATCCAGAATGCTATTCGTACAAGCTGCCCTCAATAAGGGAGTTTTGGGGTTTGAGGCACAATTTGAATGTGGACTTTGGACTGAAGATACTGAGTGCACGCACAGTCGCTTGGTCAGCCTTCCCAGGTTGTCACTGTGTGTTGAGGTTCACTGCCTTGATCACCGTCTTTCGTAATCTCAGGACACTAACTGTATTTCAGATGTGCTCAATGCACAGGCTTTCTTTGACACCAGCTTGACACTACTGCTTTCCTCTTCCCTACTATCCACAGCAAGCCATCCCCTGATCTGCACTTTGTCATAAGATCCTCTCAGCTCCATCCCCCATCACATGACACAGGGCAAATGCGGGTTTGGTACACATCAATCAGAATTGAGTACGCCCCTTTGGGGCGGGGGACAGGGCTGGCATAGCAGTTGAGAACCAATTTCTCTGGTCTTAGAAAGGAGCCTTCAGACAAGAGTTGGAAAATAACTTCAAGTCTTTTCTGTCCCTGACTGCTTTAGTCTACTTGTTCTTCTGATCATCTCTGTTCATTGTCACCATTTCTGAGTCAATGTTATTTGCTCCTAGTTTTTAAGAAATCTAGTCATTCCCAACATTTCTGAGGAAATGCATCCTGATTCCCAACCATTGTGTCTTCATCTTCTAGGAGATCTAACTTGAACCACGATGTTGTTACTAAGTCATCACTTCTGTGCCCAGTGCTACTTACATTCCCTAATTAAGGAATTAATTTCTCTTTCTCTTCCCAGTATATCTTTCTCTGAACTTTTGAGAGGGCCAAGGCCTTGGGCAAAATAATATCTCTGCTTTATTATGTATGATGCCAGAAGAGCAAGTTGGGCATCTTTGGGAACCTTACATACAAAAATAACAATACTCCAGAAAATATTGATTAATTTTGTCAATAACTTATTTTAGTTAACATGGCTTTATTATGACTTCGATCAGATTCCCAGTGGAGAACTTAAAGTACACTCATGTATCATGTAGGTTGGGGTTTTGTTTTGTTTTTTGTTTTTTTGCTTCTTTAATGTCTAGGGCTTTGATTTTGAAAGATAAAGCTGGGTTTTTTCCCCCAAAGGAATAGCAACATGCGTTGCCTCCACCTCCAAGTGACATTTCAACTTAGGAACATATGGGGAAGAAATGAAAATTGTAATACTTTTCAAAATTACAGGAGAAAAAGACACAATTTTAGAATCAACTTTAAATAAAAATTCTAATTATTGTTGATAATCTCTAAGTGTTGTTAAATATTTGCTGTTAGAGTTTTGCTATCCAAAAAAAATGACACCATATTTTCTTAAGACTAGATAAATTTCAAGTGGCTATTTATAAGACTGTCACAACTTATACACATTGGAAAAGAAACCAGTCCTGCGTAGGAATGAACCCACCTCTCCATTCGTACCTTTTTAGAATAGGTAGAGTCCAGTGGAATTTTTCATTTAGGGCCTTTGGCTTTGGTTTCAACAGCGACTAGTTAATGTTCAGTAGTTAGCTAGTTAATTTTTAAAATGGCCAAACATTAATGGCTAATTATAAAAGCCAACACTTGTTACAGCCTTACCAGGTTCATTGCCCGCTGCTCAAGAGGAATCCAGTACCCTGAGACTGCTGGGGTTACAGCAGAAAAAGCATTTAATATTGCAGGTACCATGTGAGGACACGGGAGGAAGTTCTCAAATCTGTCTCCCCAGGAATTTGGGAGAAAGCGTTTTGAAAGATAGTTTGGTGGACAAAGGGCTAGGCAATTGGGTCTGCTAATCGGCTGGATTCAGGGTAGAACCATAGGGGTGTAGTAATTGTCTTGTTTGCTAAGTCAGTTCTTGGGTGGGGTTTACAAGACCAGTTGAGTCAGTTCCTTGGTATGGGCCACTGGTCTGGTTGGGTCAGTTGGTCCACCAGAACACAGGGCCAGGAAGATATCTCAAAAACTAGCCTTAGGTTTCTCAGGGGTGATGTTATCTGTGGGAGCAATGAAGAAAGCTAAGAATCTTTATGACCATCAGCTATGTGACTTCTGAGTAGCGATTATAGGAAAGCAAGCTGGGGAACAATGGCTCGTTCTATATATATTTCTCCTACCACGGTTTCCACCTTGTGGCCCTTTATTAATTTTATAAAGGGTGGTTTCACACTTATATGGCACCTACTGTGTTATATGTATATAGTGCTGTTCTAAGTGCTATATACATATCTTAACTCATTTAATCCTCACAAAACCACCAAAAGGTATTGTTCTTAGAAAATCCAAGATGTAGAGAAATGAACTAACCCCCTGTCACGCAATTACTATTAATACACGCAAGAGCTGGGATTTACTCCCAGGGAGCTGGGCTCCATAGTCTTAAATCCCACACTTCAGTGCCGGAATAAGTTACTACAACTTCCCCCACCCAAGGATTATTCTCCCCAGAGGATATGAGGGGTTTTCATGGGCGAGGATAGATAGAAACAGCTAAGAACATGAGAGGACGTGAATAAAGACAAAAACGTGTGACTGATTTAGTTAAGATTACTCAATGAGGTAAGCAGAAAAAAAATCCATTAGCACATTCATAAGTATTACAGTTCTTGCCATTGTGGTTTCAGTTTCCAACTGACAAAATACCAACTTCTCACTGCAATTCCTGGGCTCTTAAGAATGATTACCACCTGGAAGTGAGGTTGATGGAACCAGGAACTAAAGAAGGATGTACTTGGAATGCAGGTGCACCATCTCATCTGTAATAGAATGGTTTAATAGGCCAAGCTTGGTTTCCTCTCCCATGCTACTAAAGGCCTGAGGTTTAATGAATGGGTGAAGGAAGGATAAACAGCTTAATACCCCACCCAGTAAAGAGTCTCTTCACTAAGTCCTCCCAATTCGCAACTGCCTGGGGTGAGCAAAGAATTCCAGCCCCAACTGGGGGTCATGGAGACGGAGCCACTAATATTAGCCAAACCTGCTCTGGAGGCTGCAGCCCCCGGTGTTGGTCATCTTAGCCTAGAGCATCCTTCCTGCCTTTCTGCTGGCCAGAAATAAAGGGCTGGCCAGCAGGGCCCTGTGTGAGCAGAGCGCTCAGCCAGCTAACATGAGCTGTTTGTGTTGGGCAATTTGTGGAAGAAATTCTTGGGACCCAGTTCCAGGACTGTGACTTCCAATCCCTAATTACAATGACAGTCTTAGGTGTCATAATTAAAATGTGCCCACATTTCCTTTTCTGAGAAGAGAGAACCTATCTCGTGTTCAGGAATGATCTAATGTTTCATCTTTGACATTTCAGAATAATTTTCAAGGATTTCTGTTAAATTACAGAATCGAAAGGGAAAGGGGAGAACAGTCCATTCATTATGTCCTGTCCTTTTCCTGTCCCTTTATCTGAGGGTGGCCTGTTTTCTGAAAATGTACTGAGAAACAAGAATCATTTGTTCGAAGGCTGTATCCAAACTCTAAATTTAAAAACATGATTTATCATCTTGGAGGATAACGATCTGTCCACCTGTAGATTTCTATGGACTTCCTTGTAGAAGACTGACAAATAGGGCACATTTTTAGAGTTTAGTTTGTCTTACGTTGCGCCCGATAATTCAAAGACATTCAGAGTGTTTTCCTGCGTCCGGAGCCTGTGAAATGAAAATACCACAATTGCCAGGGGAACGATGAGCAAGATCAGTACAAACTGTGGCAGTCGGGGAGGTGCCGGGAACGTTAATTTAGCACTGTGTGTCTGCAAGAGACCACATTCGCAGGGGCTTTCCAACACTGGACTAATGTGCAATGTCGGAAAACTTAGTGACCCCCTACCCCACCCCAGGACTGGAGAGGGAGAAACCTAGTGATTTTGTTTATTGCAGAATGGATAGCCTAGCAAATCATACTAACACCAGGACCTAAAACCATAAGGCTGTACTTCAATCACCCTTTAAGACCAGGTTTTTAATATTTATACTGTTTCATCATTTCTTTGGTAGTTATAAGTGTGGTGAAGTATAAAACTGTTGAATGCCTGGATAATTTTTACTGGGTCTGCAAGGCTGTATTGAGACAGTCTGACACTGCAGGAGTCATGATTTGTTCGTGCATAGATTTATACTGACTTCTTTATAGAAGACTGACAAGTAGGGGACTTTTTAAAAGATTAGTCTGTCTCACGTTGTACCCAATAATTCAGAATATTAACATTCAAGTCTGATTTAATCAGTCTCTACCACACAATCTAAATTTCCTTTTCATTGTCAAGTATATGATTAATACATGGAACATTTTTTTCTCATCTTTTGCCAAAGTTGTTCAAATACCAAACAGCAAGAAGTTTAAAAGCACTGATTTTTTTTTCTTCTGCTTTTATGTGTGGTTTCATGAGCTATTTATTGGTCATCAAATTAATTAAGGGTCAGAAATGCATTCTCTTCATAATGTTCTACAAAACAGACTCATAGAAATGTCTTCTTTTCACAATGTTCTACCAAACAGGCTCATTAACTTTGCTTTTATTTCTAAATTGGTACACCCGATCCATCAAAATCTCACTGGCAAAAGGGTGAGTTGAGCATGGCAGGAGGCTGCAGGGTTATTGCTGGAGGGTGGCAGGGTGTCACTGCATCTGCCTCATTTCTGTTTTCTCTGCCTAGCAGAGGTGACCTACTTGGCCACTGATACTCAGACACCTTTCATTTTCGGTAGAGTTCTAGTGAGGAAGATCCTCTAACTGAACCAAGATCATCTACCAAGGTATCTCCAGTTAAGTGTGATTCCAGACTTCCAGCAATTGACCAAACATCAGTCAAGCAAAAACATAAAAGTACAATGACCCCAAGGAAAACAGAGAAAGCGGGCCCCAGCAAACCCTCTCCAGGTGAGTCACTGGTTTACTGAAATTTACAAAATCTAAAATCCTAGTATACAACATGATGACAACGATCAAATTGGTGGTATCGGTTAAACCTAGTGTCCTCCAAGCGGCTAATTCAGGTTGGAAGGTCGATGATCCTATGCAAATGACAAAATTAATTTCAGCGTAATACTAGGTCAAAGAGGCGTGAATTATGCAAAGTCACTGTCCACGGCCCACATTTTCTGCCCAGTCATTTGCTTTGTGTAGCCCCTGCCTGGAATTGCTGCCATTTCATCTTCTTTACCCTTCTTGGGGATAAAGGCATTTGGCCCTAGGTATCAAGTTTTATGACTCAAGCAAGAACATGAAGAGAAGTTTTCAAACACATCTGAATGGCATAATTTATAGCCGAGAGAGAAAGTAATAAAGCTCTCCAGTTCTGGATTTGTCCTCTCCGGGAGAAAAGGAGCTTGATAAATCCTCCCTTTGTGCAATTTGGTAAATAATTCACTCTTCAGCCGCCTTTGAAGCAAAGACCAGTCTTCTTGGGGCAGGACTGACTTCCTAATATCCAGAAAGGGGCTAAAATCAACTGTCCCTCGGGCTCATCCCCATCAAAGCCATGGTCTGTAGGACAAATGTGATTCCTCAGGGAGCTGATGTCTAAGTTGAGCTAACTAGGCGGGCAGGTCTGCCTTCTGCTTTGCGGTTGAATGGAAAGGATCCAAACTATTCCTCAGAACAATTCGTCAGTAGCATGCAATTCATTAACACCAAATCACAGCTACTTTCTAATCCTAAATAGCTCCTGTCATGCTACCGGTCCAGTTAAGTCTTAATGCATTTTTTGAACATGGCAGGTTTCACTCAGATTAACCACCCACATTCTGTTGCTTTAATGAGTCAAAACCAAATTGACTTCTGAAGTGATGTCCTCTTAGGCCCTGACTCTCGCACCTTATTTAATGAAGGGAAAGTGTCATCATAGTTAATTTCTCATTTTAAAGACTTTTAGTAGGGATTAGGCTTTTAATTCAACTGCTGAAGATTGAAATAGGGCAGATATGGTCATTCCGCAAATATTTCAAACTATAAGTTGTAATTTATTGAATTGAGGATGTTTTTAGTTGCAAAAATTTGAATTTAAGTCTAAACAGGGCAACTCCATTCTTTCAATATAATATTTAGCCTTTTTGCCAAAATCGGGGAGCTGTTTGCATAGCTCTGTCATCTGTGGAGAAAAATCATTACATTGAACCGGTTAGGCCCACCTCAATGATTTAGTTTGATTAATACAGATGTTTTCCAGACTGAGCAAACTCCATATATGGAACTTAGAACATTGACAAAAAGAGGGAATTGATTCACTTTACATTCTATAAAACATCGAATTTGAAAAATTACCAGACTGAAAAACACCAAGGTTTGGGCAAGAGAGCCAAGTTAGCAAAAAGATGTCTATTTCATCAGATGAATTACGTTACTCATAGTAAAAGCCTTTACAAACCGCCAGCTTTGTCATTGTATTATGGCCCCAGACCATGTCCAAGAGCCATGTAGCCGAGAGCCGGACTGTGGCCTGGCTGTCCAGCAAGCATCGCGATCTTGGTGATTCATGGCAGTTGCCACAGAAGCTGAATCAGTTGTGCAGCAATCTGGCTAGAAACAAAGCATTGGTGTGTTAAGATCCATTCGTGGTACATGTGTAGACGCACCCTCGGAATTCCCCAATTAGCATAGGGAAATGAGAACCTAGAGACATGGCAAGAATTTAAGCTGAGGCTGTTCAGAAAAAGTTGAGTTGGAGTTTGGTGCTGGCATAATGCAGACAATTCAGATACACACCCTGCTGTTTCAGAGAGAAAGAGGATTTGGTATGTCAATTATCTGGACATACTGATCTAGCTCACTAGGTAAATTCACAGTTTCTTGCTTTTCTTCACCTCTGTAGAGAGATATTTTCCTAAAGCATTTGGGGGGTAATTCGAAGTTAGCAGTGAGTCATCAAAACTTCTATCCATGTCAGACCTGAGATTCTGTGCAAAATTGAAACATCAAACACAGTGAAATTTCTTTGCCACATCTGCCTAACAGGCTAAACCTCCATACTGTGTTATGCCAGACTTTACTGAATAAAATAAGATCACTGAGGAATGTGGCTCGACTTACTGCAAATTTACGTAATAATAATCTATGTCATTAAAAAAGTTTTTTCTTGGGTGTGAACTGCCACCTAGAACCCCTAAAACAATTATTTGCAATATAGGAACTATCAATGCCCGTTACAGATAAATTTATAATCAATAAGGCATCAGATTCTCATTGTTCTTCACACTGTTAGAAGGAATTCATGCATTTAGATCAAGTTCATGTATTCCATGAAATTGTTTCTAGATGAGTTGCCTTGTGGTGTTCCTTGCTCTTTCTCCATGCAGTGGGGTGTGCAGTTTATGGGCAAGTGCTTAGGAGTCAAAATGCTTGAATTAGCATCCGGGCTCCATTTCTTATTTGTTGTATACCTTTGGGCAAGTAATTTCTCCATGCCTCAGTTTCCTCATCTGTAAAATGGGGGGAGCATGGTAAAAACAGATCCTACCTGCTGGGGTTGCTGTGAAGACTCGATGATAAAATCTATGTGCAGCCGTTGGAACAGTCCTGCCACTGTAACTAGTCAACAAATTATAGCACTATGATCTCTAGCACATGAGAGCGGCAGTTAGTAAGGAGAATGCACTAGAAAAGTTTGTTTTCTTTGTCTTAAGGTCCCCCCACCCCAATCTTCTTTTCCTTCACAAAAATCAGAGTTGTGTTTTTTAACTCTCTAACAGAAATGCAGGTACAGGCACTTTTACAAAACTCTTGAGTTTCCAAAGCAAAGTACCAAATGGAAAAAGATGAATAACCAGAAAGCAATCACCAAGCCAGAGATACGCTTTATCTCCAAAAGGACATGGAAAATTCAGGCAGTGAGTCAAGACCCAGCTGGGTCTTATACACAATTGATTCAGAAATCCCACTTCACGACCAAGGGGATCGCTGGTGTAGGGTGAGAAGCCTAGCACGCAAGGTTACATGCTCTCGTTTCAGACTTCCATACGGATGGGTGAAGCGCAGAGCAGTCGGCAGGCCCAGCGGGTGCGGGGGCACAGGGACGTTCGGGGAGCTGTGGTGGCCTCTGACTCCTGCCTACTCTCCAGACCTCTCCTGGCCCTAGCCTGAGTTGGAAAAGAGACGCCTCTCCTTTCCAGGACATGGAGAGGCATCCAAAGGCCATTGTGCTGTGAGGTTCTGGCGCCTGGAGTCCTAACGAGCTCTCTACCCCAGGGCAGGCACGTGGGAAGCGAGTGTGCCCTCTCCTGCCCTCCACTCGCACCTGGAGCTTGGGCATAGTCCCCCTAGTTACATGCCAGGAAAGCGGATCTGGATGACGTCCTGGGAGGCTGCTTCCAAAATCTTGCCCTTTAAAACAAAGCCAAGTGTTCTGAAATTATCCTCACTTATTATTGAGTTCAACATTAGTCATTACCAGATTCAGATTTGTAGGAGTAGCAAGACTTTTCAGCCTTATAGTGGATTATGGTGAGTACGTGTTCTTGTAAAACTAAGAAAAAGCAGGGAATTCAGATTTTAAAAGATAAACATCAAAAATAACTGTGGTCTCATTTGTGCTGGAAAACATTTATTTGAAGAGCAGCCTGGAAGAGAAATTTGAGGGCAAATCCTAAATCTTCTTAATTCACCTTGGAAATAAATTCTACTGAAGATTTTCTCTGAAAGGCTAAGATTAATGGGTTTCCCGGCAAGCACAATTGGTGTCCAACAACTTTCCAAGCTATCTGCCCAAGTTAGGGAAAAAAAGTGAATACTCCGATTTTTATATATACAGTCCATTTGTGCTAATGTTTCTGCAACAGAGGGGTTCAGGGTTGTCACAGAGCCCAGAATTTGACATCCTGGCTCAGAATCCTGTTTCTACCATTTTATAACCCTAAAAATGTGAACGGGCAACTTCTCTGAACTCAGTTTCCTCAGCAGTAAAACGGAGTTATCACCTACCTTGCCAGGTAGCTAGGAGGATTGCAACCCCGGATACAGACTAGGTTTCAGGTAGGGGTTAATGCCTAGTCTTTATGAAGCCTGCTCCCAACACCACCTGCTGCTCTGGGGTTGCCACCTCGATTAGAAAACTGCTTGACCAAAGAAACTTTAGTTTGAGATGTAAGAGTGGTTATAATTTGATTATTAAGAATGTCAACTATTGGGGCATCAGTGAAGCCATCCATTTATCCGGTACCTATGGGGATGTTAGCAACCACATCCACCTGCCCCCTCCCCGTCCCAGGGTGCATGATACAGGGCGAATTGGTTTTCTCAGCTGTCACTCACTCATTCAGCACTGCACTGGCCGCATGCATACCTGCGGGCACCGGGGAAACCAAATATACAACACGCAGGACCTGCCCCCCAGGGGCTTACAGCCTAGCGGGCGGGCGAGACACCAACAGGAGCAAACAGTACGGTGCTCGCCCTGACCAAGGTGAGTTCTGAGAGCTTGTGGGCAGGGCCAGGTGGGGTGAACATCCTGAAGGACAGGGGACTTAGCCAGGTGAAGAGGGCAAGAAAAATGTGCCTGCCAGGAGATACTGAGTGTGCAAAGGCACAGAGGAGAAAGGGAGCAAGGAAGAAGGGGAGAGACAGACAGACAGACACAGAGGAACTACGCATAGTCTAGAGCCTTGTGCCTCCAAGTGTCCCCAGACTAGTAGCAGAGGCATCACCTGAGAGCTCGTTAGAAATGCAGGACCTCAGGCCCAGCCCAGACTTACTGGCTCAGAACCTGCCTTTCACAAGACCTCAGGGAGATACACACACCCGCTGGAGTTTAAGAAGCTCTGGTTTAGGGCCAAGTTACAAATTAGGAAATGTGGAGTATAAAGTTGAGGCCCTACAGGTAGGCAAGGACCAGGTCCCCAAGGGCCTTAAATGTCATGCTGAAGGCGATGGAGCTTCAGTCATCAAAG